GAAATTGTTTGCTTCTCAGTCCTGGTGTTTGAAACAATTCATTGATGTCAATGCCAGAATTCGAAATGAATTGCAACAAAGTGAAATGGTCCAAAGGATCAAATGCCTTGCAGCTTTCAAAGTTTCGAATTTCAATTGGTTTGCACAAGCACAAATGGCAGCATCCTTGTTTGTCTCGCCATCCAGGAAATTGGAAAACTTCTTTTCTCATAGCCCAAGCACCTCTCACTTCAAGTAAAAAAGCAATGAAAGGCAATGCTTTGCCATTGAATGTGCTTCGTTTTTGTCGCCTGGGTGCCAAAAGCTGCCATCATGCCTTGCTGAAGGCCAAGTGCAATTGGCTAAGTGAATAAAAGACCAAGACAAAATTCCTAACATCTTCGACAAAGTTACTCCCTTGATGCACCAGTGCTTTGGAATACAGCACAAAGGGATTCGCAAAGTACCATTAGGTGGAAGTAAGCCAGGAAAATTCAATGAGATGCATTCCAAAGTTTGACTTCTGTCATAATTGTAAGGTGTGCCATCGATCCAAAGGCCAAGTCCTATGGCTTCTCGAACTTGGAACTGCATTTGCATGTTCGCCAAATGTTTCTTGCTGAGTTCACACATGCCACCAGTCTGCAGCAAGTCTTTCTTCTCAGAGCGCTTCGAGAAGACAAAAAGAATCTCCTGTGGCAAAAGAAAAGGTATATTCTTCATCTCTTCTGCTTGTGTTCCAGGATTGTAGCAAGGGATCAATGCAATATATTCAGTGAACCACAGGCAATTCTTCAACATTTCTCTTTTCATATCCCTTGCCAAATTCTTTTCCCAATTGGCTTGATTCTCACCACTGCCAGATTTCTCTGCACCTTTGACCAAATCTTTCACACCAGTGGCTCCAGCTATTTGTGCATCTTTCATGAGCTCATTGGCTCTTCTAGCAGAGACAGTCTTGGTCAAAAACAAATTGGAAACATTGTGTCGAAACCTCTTCTGGTCAGGTTCCCTAAGGGTAGACAAATCTATTTTTCTCTTGTGAAACATGGCTTGAGCTGGAAAAACATGTCGACATAAAAGTTCATAAGATCTCAGAAGACAAGAAGTTGCACATTGTATTTGGTTAAGTTAATGCTAAATTTGGCCAATGCTTTGAAACAGGGAAGCAGTAAAGGAGATCTTACAAGGAAGCAGGCTCTTTTTCCAGCGACAGTTACCAGCTGCGCATCTTCCAAGCAGATCCCTGCGGTATTTTAATCTGCATTTCCACATTCCAAAACTGACAACTGCACCAAATGCGCTTTCCAAAATCTAAGGGCCAAACAGCTCCTACAGCAATGCCTGGTGAGTTTTCGCCTTGGCTTTTGCTTCTTGCAGCTTCTCTTGGCTGGAAGCAAGCCATGCTTTGGCAGCAGGCAATGGTTTCGAAAGGCTTTCAGGAGAAGTGCCCTCAGGAGCAAGATCTTCACTGGCTGCAACATAGGATCGAAGGTTGGCAATGGCTTTCAACTGCTCTTGACACGCATTCCTGGGTTGGGCCACAGGTTCAGGGATCTGATCTATGTAATTCTTTTCTCATCAAGCCAGCTCTATCAACAGAAACTATGAATTTCATCCATGAATAATGTGCTTACTAGTCTCACATGTTCTCAGGTACTCATAGTGCTTCAAAAGCTTCTTTGTTGGCATACATTTGATCATTGCGATCTGCTTGTCCATTGGCTCCACCGGGTTCTTCTCAATGGTGGCCAGTGGCTGCTTCCTCCATGGAGGCAGTTCCTTTGGTGGTTCCATTGAACCTTTCATTGAAAATTGAAAAGTGTAATGATGAAGTAAGTTGGGATGTCTATGAATCTCCAGTTCCAAATCCAAAGGTTTCTATTTTGGATCCGAGGTGATTTTTATTGGAGGTTAAAATTGGTTAAAATTAAAATTGCCAATTTTAATTTTAACCTATCCTGCCTTTAAAAGTAATACATAAACTGGTTAAAATTAAAATTGGCAATTTTAATTTTAACCAATTTTAACCTCCTTATTTTTCCAATTTGAAACTTTTACAGTCATCATGCATGACCTGAATGAATTGTATCCAGAGAAGAGCCTCTCAAACAAAGGAAATGGATGGGCATCAGCTTCGGCCAAGGAGATCTTGCACCTCCTTTTTGATTCCAGTATTGGACACTAGTGCAATGATTGTGATACCTCAGGTTCAGATCATCAGCTCTCATCATCATTCCAAAGCTGACCATGTGCATCCATCAAGGCTTCAAAAATGATTCTACAGGTCCATCACCACTACATTGATCAATATGACTTGACAGCTTCACCCATGCAGAAATGCTCATATCACAGATATCATGGTTTACTTAAATTTGAATGTAGTTTATCAAGGAGATCTTGCACCTCCTTAAAGAGTCGCTTGCGCCCATAATCTCCAATCATTTTTCCAGGGAAGCTCAATTGACTCAATCTACATTTGAATCCTCATCCTCTTTGGTTTTTTCGGCTTGCTCTCCAGCATCAATAGGTGATGTAGGAGAATATGGGGTTACAGCAGGACCTGATCAGGAGGCATGATGATGAACAAATTGCATCAAATTGCACAGTGCATGGTTGACATGAGATACTTTCAAATCCACAGTCACAGAAAACTTCAGCCTGTGTAGATCATTCCTTCATCCAGGAGCACCAATGGAGTAGCATGCGCAGTAGGTGCAGTACGTGGTCCTCATGATGCATTGAAACTGAAACAAAGGAGGTGCAAAATCTCCGTATGCCCAAAACAAAAAATCATCTGAGGAGGTCTTGCATCTCCTTCATAACATGATATATCAAACCATATATGAAACAAAATCATTATCTAAATGATTCAAGTTTCCATGGATTCGAGAAGCTCTCACAGCATAGAGGACTCTCATTCGTCTTCTTGCTTCTTCAATTGAGATGACCCCCATGTCAGCCATGTAAGTGAGTTGGGCTGCTGCACCTCTCACTCCCTCCCCCAGTGGTAGACCTGCATCCAGTGTTGGAAAAAATATATAAATATTCAAATTCCAAATTTCAACATTCCAAATTCCAGACAAAACTTCTCAAATCCAGAATTCCAATCCAACATTAAACATTAAAGCCACATCCTATGAAAGTCTACAAGCCACTTTTGAAATCCACCCAGGCACTAAACGCTCAAGTTCCAAATGTCAGGAGATCTTGCACCTCCTTAAGACAGAAAAGTGGAAAGACTATTTCCTATTTTCCTATAGAGAACTCTCAGGAGGTTTTACACCTCCTTGAAACATGCAACAGAAATCAGCAGCCATTTTTTTGCAATTTCATCCAATCTAACCCACATCCTGTCCAACCTTCCACTTTCGAATTTCCTCATTCAAAAATTCAATCACAGATTGTTCAGTAGCACCATCGTGCAAATCAGCAGTGCATTTCCGGGCCAAATCCCAGCCAACTTCTCTTGAAATTTTGTTCAAAGTGAAAGATTTGATTTGTTTCTTGTCTCCAAAATTTCGTCTGACACCTAAAGCACCATACTTTCGACTGCCTTTAGCAGGATAATCTTCCAAGCGATATTCAGGAGATGCCAAGTCAACAGCAGCAGGTTCAGGATCAGCAACTGCAACAGCCGGCCGAGCTTCAACATCCTCTTCTTCAGAAGTGCCAAGTACTGCTTCACATGCAGCACGCTTTTTCAAGATTGCAGCAGGCCTTTTCAAGACTGCAGCAGGCCTTTTCAAGACTGCAGCAGGCCTTTTCAAGACTGCAGCAGGCTTTTTCCCACCTGCAGATTGCCTATAAATCTTCAAAGATTCATTGGGAATTTCAGATTCAAATTTGTTTTCACCAAAAGCAGCAATGGCAAAGCCATTTGGTCCTTCACTCATAGTAGCTTTCTCCACCTTGCTATCCACAAAGCGACATACCACCATGGCAGTAGAATCGATCCAGGTTCCAGCACTCACAGGCTTCTTAGGACTCGCTTGGCTCTCTTCACTCGACACTTCTATCAATTGATGCTCTTGGCTATCCAATGTTTCTGAGCTGTGGCCTGGAGGATTTTTTTGCAAAAGTGGTTCATTCACAGGCAACTGTGGGATGGAGCTCGCATTGGAGCTTTGTCTCATGAGCCTTTGCTTGGCAATGGCTTTCTGAACAAACTTGCCTTTCTGCCGGTTCCCATGGAATTCTGAGCACTCCAGATAGATCTTCACAAGCTCACCCATCCAAGGCTCATATTTCCTACTTGAAATTGACCATTTTGCTTTTGTTCGGATGTGTTGCACACATTCGACAATTGCAGAAGACCACTTCTTCGCTTCGTCACTCAAAGTGCGAGGGTTGACTTTCAAGGCAGCTTCCTTCAAGCAGTCTTTGGATGGTCGAATTGTTTTCTGGAACATCAAGCCCAGAAATTTTCGATAATGCTTGCATACTTGATCAATTTCAACATCCAAGTAATCCTTGGGATCCAAACAAGCCACCTCTGCTTTCAAACATTTGCAACGGTCTTGCAGTGTTCTTAGCTCTACTCATCTTGAGAAATCAACTGCAGATGCGATGCACAAACATTACATGCAGGAAATCAAAACACCAAAAGGAGATCTTGCATCTCCTTGAAGCAACCTCCAAAGGTTGGTCTTGATGCAATGATGATGTCAAAGATGTATCTAAAAACAGTGAAAAAAATCCTCTTTAAAAAAAATATAAGGAGGAATTTTCCCAAAAAAAACACCTTAATTAAGGAGAATTCCTCCTTAATTAAGGTGGAATTCCTTAATTAAGGAAAAATTCCTCCTTAATTAAGGGAATTCCTCCTTAATTAAGGTGGAATTCCTTAAAAAAAAACTCCTTAAATTAAATAAGGAGGAATGGAAGTTCTTGGAAACTATCTCTCATCATGTTCCCATGCTTTCCATTAAATCCCATTATAATCCTACTATAATCCTACTATAATCCCATTTTGGGAGGCGAAACTACACCTTGCCCCACGACTAAACCCTCCACCGGACCTGTTGCAATTCCGCCTGCAACTCCCGGCGCACGGCCGCGAGGCTGGCGCTCGGACTGCTTGGACCTGACGATGTCGTTCCCAAGAAAAAAATCGTAGCTGACCTGGGAAACTGACAAAACCCATGGAAAGCCACAATTGTCAAAAGGTAAAACAACTATCGTAATATAGAATCTCATAAAATCACCCTACTTAGTTTGACTGGGGTAGTTCTGCCCAATTTGAAGTGGACTATATAATCCATGAGCCCTAGTTACCCTACCATGCACCTATGACATCTTGTGACTGGGTTGTAATATGTTGTAGCCCACTCAATCAAAATAAATATGGGTGAACTGTAACAATCCAACATATGTGTTTAAAATAGAACAAATAATGGGATATATTTAATGAGATGTCCAAACAACAACATTGTATATACATTGTGTCTGAACATGGGGTCTACCCGCAAAAACAAATCCCAAAATGGCAGTTTTGAAAACACAAGGATGATTATTCAATTATTCAGTGGATTTAGGGAGGGGTACTCTGTTTTCAAACAAATACGTGTTGAATTGTAAAAAAATGATGATACTATACTATGTCACACAAAACCAGTGGGAATGGTTGCGCCGAGGACAATCATGATTGCGGCGAGGGTGACCATGAGGATGATGAGGACGACGATGACAAGAATGACGACGACAATGACAAGGACACGGACAAGGACGATGATGATGACGATGATGACGACTGTGATACCCGGAAGATCAGCTTAGACAAATTGAAATTTGAAATGAATTAGGTAACCTCCATGTTTTAGGCAAAGCATTAACTAATAGTTAATTTTGAAATTGTCTAATTTATTAACTCAGCTGCCTTGTTATTTTGGACTTACCTTCGGTAGCTCTTGTTTTTCCTGAAAAAATGTCAAAAGAAAATTGGAACATCTATGTCAACATGTCATAGAGAAACTCCTAAACAACATGAACCACAAGGACATGAATGTGAGATTCAGAAATCAAAGTGAGAACCAAGAGAAGAACAGAAACATGACAACCCACCAAAATGAGGCTGCTGCAGTAACTTTTGGACGTGATAGCAAGTACTGTAACTCTTGGAGGCTGCTCAGGCATTTTTCCACCCCTTCAGTTATATTTTTGGCACTTTGGCCATCAGCTTTCCAGCAGGAATCAACACAATCACATCAAACAAAGGGCAGCAGTATTTCCTAGAAATGCAAAACATGAACCAACAGTAACTCCTCAGGAAGCCGCTGTTCCATCTCGTCGAATCGCAGCAAAAGATCTGCGTGTTGCTTGGACCTCTTGTGAACCCTGAATTGACATTGAACAGTTCCATGCGGTGAAACTGCCCCCCAACAAATCCCCATTGTATCACCATCTGTTGTTGGTTACAAAACATCAATATACATCAATTGTTCCTGGTGGCTCCTCCCAGGAATCATAAGCATGTTAAACTCTTAGTTCACCCCAGTTACTGTAGATTGTTCTGCTGGGGCTGTTTTGCCGTCCCCGACATGAAATCTATGACATCGTCGATAGGCTCTATATGGCTCATGGGAACTCAGGAACCAAAGTGGCTTCATGACTTGATTCACTTACATCACGTCACATCACAGTCACATTTCATTTACATATTATAGTTAATGAATAATTCTTTCACTCATATAGTTCCTTCACTCCCGCCATGAAGCGGCCGCTGGAGCTGACCCAGTTCAGCATATCGTTGCCGTTTGGTCGGGGTCCGAACTGCCAGAGTCCTCCAAAGTAAGTAGGGGACTTGAGACAGCTGGCCCAGAAATACTTTCAGACTTGCTGCTTGAAGCTCTTGACTGCTGACCAATCCAAAATGAATGAAGAAGTGGTGAACTGTTTGAACGCCCTGCCCCCCTCCCCCAATGCTTGACAGTGACAGGTGCATTGCTCATTGCTCACCGCTTGAATTGTGATCAGATGATTTTTTTGGTTCAGTCTTTTGTCAGTGTGCAAATGGAATCCTTTCTACTCAAGAATTTAGCGTTATTCTTTTTATGTCTCTTGAAGACCGTCTTCCGGTCAACTTCTTGTGCAGTGATGATGACATGTGCGGACGCTGCGAGTTGATTCATGCCAAACGAATCATCCAAGGATGAAGTGATGCATAGTGATGCCCAAAACACTGACAGCTAATGGGGCATGAATGAATCTGTGAACAATCATCCCATACGACCTAAAGTGCCCGCAATATTGACAATAACCTTTGAGAGCATGTAGGAATTCACAGCATGAAATCACCCGATGCACTGGTAGATTTCACTCTGGAAACCTCCAGAAACGTGAAAAACACTCAAAAAACAATGGCTTGATTTCAGCAGACTGAGGTTTGATGGACGACCCCCTATTACAGCTGTGGGAAGAAAATGCGGAGAAAAGAAAATTCGCGTGACGCCCAGCTGAGCCAAACACCTGATCCGTTCAAATTGTTACCAGTGATCTCATCTCGGAATTGGGTTTTCAGATGTCGCTTGCCATAAAATTAAGAAAAAACGGGTATTAACAGTGATTTTCAAAACAACATTAGACTATTATTTGGACAACCCTGTGAAACAATAAAGTAACTTCTAATCACTGAAATATACAACCTTTGATGTTTCATCTTGGGCAAGTTCCAGATGCAGCTATTGTAGAAGTTACTTTTCAGTTTTCTGAAGTTACTGATGTGCATTGATTTGTGTGTGTGTACTTTGATTGAAGTTTGTTTGAAATATGCGCTTTTAAAGAGATTTGGAAAGAACAAATCCAACAAACATATGTTTTTCAACGTGAACCCACAGATTTTGAAGGTCCCTTACAAATTTGTAAGGTCCCTTACAAATTTACCTTACAAAATTGTAAGGGACCTGAAAAACATCTTTACAAATTTGAAAACAAATTTGTTAGGGCCCTTACAACAAACCTTACTCAATTTGTAAGAGGTGTGTAAGCCTCTATGTTTTTTCATTGAAACGCTATGTTTTCCTTGCATTTGTTGATATTTTGTGCTTAAAAAGTGACCAAATCTATGAATATTTCATCGAACATCTGGCAGTAATTTGTTTTTGCATGGGACCATATTCAAATGAATGATTCTCATACTTTGGAAAAACTGCGAATGAACCATCCATGTAATTGGCACAATTGTGACACAAAACTGACCACCGCACTTGTGGTGATAGCTGCAAAACTAAGTGAGGAAATGGCGCAGCAAAAGAACAATCACAGTAACTTCTGCAACGTAGTAAGTTGAACAGTACTAAGGCCATTGAGCTGATTTCGGTTTACGGATGAACTTTTTGCATATCGCAAAAACCTATCTAGCTATATTTTTATAGGTTTTATTTGTTTGTATAAAAATCACCTCGAAAAAAACTAAAATTCCGAAAACCATCGCCCCTCAAGGCATTTCAAAAAACACACATGGGCAACATTCTTCCCACCAAAATTCGACTTAAATGATGACCCAAACATGGGAAGAAGAACACTAAGTTAGCGATACTCAAGGGTCTGGGTTGGAAACATATAAGACCTGAACGGAAACCTCCGAGAAAAACAATATTTGTCATTTGGAGTTACGACTACAGGTTTGTGCGAGGTAAAATGGTGTATATAAGAATCGGGACGTTTTTGCTATTTACAAACAAGAAAACCGCATTTGTTACTTTTTTCGACCTGAGCGGCTCAATAATATTGTACAGCATTGTCCAGTCCAGCTCGTTTGTTTTCTGGGAGGTCAGGCTCACATCAGGCTTGCATGCTCCAACATCTGTTTTAGTCCTCCTATGTGTTTCTTTCTGTTTGAAACTCAAAATCTATGTGAGTTATTTGTGGTTTTGTAATTCGCAGCGCTTTCTCCATGATCTATATATGCTATATATAAAGGTATGTTAGTGGTTTCGCACATATTTTGCCTCGTGGCAAGTCCGCGTGCAAACCTATGTTATTGAGTGGTTTTGTATGGATTTTGCATTTAATTCTCCACATCTGTTTTAGTAGCCTGAATGAACATTTAATGTTTGAATCTGTCTGGGTTTTGTTAGGTCTATGTTATTGGTCAATCGTTGCAGGAGCTATGTCAGTGATCCTTTGCATGTTCGTAGTTATACACTTTGTGCTTGGTTTGGTATGATATTGAAGGTCCATGTTATTGATTCAAACGGGTTTTGCGTCTTGCAGCTCAATCCACAGGGTCTCTGTTTGCGGTATTCATTATGTTTTTTATCAACTCCAAATGGGAGTTATCAATTCCAAATGGGAGTCTATGTTAGTGGTTTTCTATGGGCCTGTATTTTCCACACTTCAATGTCGAGGTCTATGTTAGCAATTTTGGATGGACCTACAGTACCTAAAACTATATAACGATCACCTGGAGGAACAAATTCAAAACTTTACGAAGCTCATCACCCGGCAATTGATATCCATGTTACGTCCAAAGCACCACGGACACAATGCAAGCCCAGCAAAAAAGAGCTAACATAGATCCAGAGAGGTTCTACAATTATGTTTGTGTTCTAGTTGGAGCCCCTGTGCACTGCGCACTCTGGAACTGAACGCTCACACTAACATAGACGTTGAGATACAGTAGCTCTTGGCAACATGCTAGATTGAAATGAAGGACTAATAAATAGATAAATAAATGAATGAATAAATAAATGACTGAATGAATAAAAAATATATATATATATACATGCATCAGGAGTTGCGATAATATTGGGAATGTTTAATACCGTAAAGGTAGGCCCTGCGACTTGTGCGGCAAAATGTAAAACCCACTTTGATCACTAGCACGGACCTGCATTAGCTTGAAAGATCAAGAGAAACATGGATCCGCACCTTGATTTTGCAAATGTCCCATCTAAGACTTTTTGTGAGCGCAAATGAAACAGAGGCAAACATAGTCTATAACAGGTGTGGCTTGACCAAGTTGCCCCCGAGTGGAAACATGCGATTTTACATTCTTGTTGAAAAAAAAATCGAGAACTAACATAGATGGGAACAGCCCTCAAAAGACCACCAACATAGCGGTGGGACTGACAGATGGAAATGTAT